ATAATCGATTTTTACAATTTAAATAATCAATTAATTCATTATAATCGATTTTTACAATTTAAATAATCAATTAATTCATTATAATCGATTTTTCCAATATAAATAATCGATTAATTCACAAAAAATCGATTTTTACAATTTAAATAATCCATTAATTCATAATAATCGATTTTTACAATTTAAATAATCCATTAATTCATTATAATCGATTTTTACCATTTAAATAATCAATTAACTTATAATAATCGATTTTTACAATTTAAATAATCAATTAATTCATAATTTTAACATCAATTTCATGGTTTATGATTCTTAGTTCTTCAAGCATGTCAAACACAAAACTCAACCAAATGACCATTTATGAACGTAGAAACGACCTATATGAACATTCTAGTCACTAGATATATCTACGGGCTTACCTCGAAGATTAATGGAGGTTTTGAGAATTTTCCGGCAAAACTTCCAGCGACGATAGCTCTGAACTCCGGCGATCTTACACCAAATTGACAGCACCACTGCGTTCTCCACACTCAAGGCTATCTCCCAAAACGAATTTGATGAAGAATGGTGAAGAAATGGTGAAGTTTTGGTTTCCATTATATAGAAGAAGAATGGAGAAGAGGCCAATGGTTCCTGCGTCACTTCTCTATTTGAGCGGCTAGTGGAGCGGACGGCGATTTCTACCCATTTCAAACGCAAGTCCCTGACTGGGACTAATTTGGTCCCAGTCGGGGAACACTTTTTGGTCCAACTTTCTCCGAATTGAATTCCGTTTGCACCGTTTCGATCGTATAAATAAACTCTTTCCAACGATATAATTTTCATATTTATTTGTAATACATTTTCCGACATCATATTTTTGGGATTTTGACTTTGACAGGGTCAAAATTGATTTTGTTGACCTTTACTCAGAAAGGTTTTTACATTTCATTAGTATTATTTATTCTCATGATTTATTTCAATAAATCATTTCAAAGTTTATATCACAAACAAATTCTTCATTTATTCTTGATTTGGATCTGTACTCAGGTTCCCAATCAAGATCACACAATAAATCAACATGTTAGATTTATCTCTATGAGATTTATCCCAATTATGTTTATTGGATATCGATATATATTTTATTTCAGCCCAAAGCCCAACAACAATTTATTTTAATCAAAACAAATTTTGTTTAATTGAATATTTAATTCAATAAATTTTAGGGTATATTTTGGGGCATTACAACCATAGTGTTGGATTATGGAATCCATGGGTAGAGGAAGAAGGGAAAAAGTGTGAAGATTGAATGAAGAAGAAAATGAATAGTGTTGTGTATTGAGCCCTCTTCCTCCCCCTCCCTCTTCCAAGAAGAGGAGTATAAATAGGGAGAGTTAGGGTTAGGGTTTCGAACTAATGGGCTGGCCCAACAGACTCGATCGTCCTTAAATAAATAATCAACATAGTTAATTGCTACATAATAAATTCGAATCTAATAATACGACGTTTGGATTTAGGAAGATACATTGATAATTAGACCATATATGTGATGTGATTCCCATCAAAACGCACCTTATTAGTAGAATTAATTAATTAAGTCCGCGCTTCATTCTCTCCCAAAACCGCTCCTCCGAGTCTTGCCTTTCCAGCCTCAACTCATGATTGAAGTTGCGTATGAACTCTTCGAACCTCTTGTCCAGCTCCTCCGGGCCCCGCACCCCGCCTCGCCGGGGCACGGCGTCCGTAAATGTCGTCGATTTCCTCAATTCTTTCTCCTTTCTTGCCTCCGCCGCCACTGACGGCAGCGACTTTGCCGTCGCCGTCGCCACTGACGGCAGCGACTTTGCCGTCGCCGTCGCCACAGATGGCGGTGACTTTACACCAGTCGCCGCCACAGATGGCAGCGACTTTGCCGTCGCCGTCGCCACAGATGGCGGCGACTTTACAGCAGTCGCCGCCACAGATGGCGGCGACTTTTTCGCCACCGCCATTGGTGACAGTGATTTTGTCTCCGCCACCACAGACGGTGGTGATTTTGCTTCCGCCGCCGCCGCAGACAGTGGAAGGGCACTAACTGTGTCATGTTCTGCTGTCTGAGGCTGCGGGGGCAGTTTCGGCCACGTCCCGCTTTTCTTGAGTTTGTCGTCTCCGCTGCAGCCGCAGTGGATCGCCGCCCATGTCGCCTCGATTGAGTCAGGGCGGCGCTCGTGGAGGTTCTCCTTCGTTGTGTGATCTTCATCGTCCCTTAAGCTCCTTCCATTGTTGTCGTTGTGGTCTTGATAATCTCACACGAAAATGGATGTTATTATTAATGCATGCATGCACACACTTTAAATGCAACGTTTTTTTTTAATACACCAAAAAACAATGTTTTTAATATTTTTATATCAAAATAGATTTTATAATGTCACTTAATATATAATGCTAAAAAAATGTGAAATGCCACCAAACCATACCAAATTGTTTTAGTCCATAGACTCAAAAGTCATATACTTATGCGTACCAGATAAAAGCGTAGAAATTAATTAAAGTCAGAATTTGAATTTATTTGAGTAGATTTCAAATTTATTACCTCCTTCCCCGAATAATTTTAGGATAACAAGATAAGACTGAGTTTATTTTTAATCTAATTTAATAAAATAGTTGTACAAAATTTCATAAAAAGAATATGCATTAAAATACTCTATTTTTAGAAATAGGCCGCCAGGCCTCATTTGACCAAGCATGTACATTTGAAAAATAAATAATCCTAGAGTCATAAATAACGATGGCGCAAAATTCTTAACTAGATGTCTTTTTTAAATTTATATTTCTCCTCATTTAAAATTATTTTATTTTTCAAGTGAAAATACACAAAATTTAATACAATAATTATTATTAAAGTTTCTCTTTTTTTCTCTGAGTATTTTTTGCACTGTATATTAATACAATAAATAAATTTATAAAGTGTTTATTTAAGATGAATCCAATAAATTAAATTTTGTACTAATATAAAATATAAATTTTATTGGGTTGATAATCAAAGTTTGTCAAGTATATATAATTCGAGAAAATCAAACTAAATCAATATTCTAGGACCAACAAATATAGTATAGACTTTTTCTCTATACATGACATATGTTTGTTCTCTAAACTTTTTTTAATTACTCTATAACTAATTACGGAGTATTTGTTAACTACGTACGATCGAGTATGTTTTTTATTTTGGGGCAGTGAGAGCGCTATTTCACTTTTTTCTAAATTACATATTTAAATTATTTAAACAAATTAAAAAACATGTTCTACGTATCTAAAAATTACTTCAAACTCTAAAAGAATTATTTTTGAAAACCTCAATATTTATTCTTTGATGGTTTATTGTTGGGATTCCTCCAAGTCCCACACCGGATGAGTAGGAGTAAATGAACCAAAATATATAGGTTCACCCAACTCCATTAGTATGAGGCCTTTTGGGAGGTGCCCAAAAACAAATCCGTGAGCTCTTAGCCCAGAGCGGACAATATCATACTAATGCGGAGTTGGGGTGAGGGCACGCACAGTCCCAACATTTATAATTTTTCCTATAAAATACAAGTGATAATATTTATTTAAGCACAAAGTGTCGAATTCTACTCTTAACACTTAATTGTCTTTACGTGCTTCTATTGAATGAGTGAATTTTGGTAAAACTTTTTCAAAGTGGAGACAATTTAAACATTTTCGGCTAACAATGATTTGGATCCAAAGAAAAGATATGGTGTTTCTTTTTCTTAAAGGAATTGTTGCCTAGTCAACTAAGTATTATGACAAAATAATCATTTACTCAAGATAATTACATAATTACATGCATTATACTCCCCATTTAAAAAAGTATACAATAATTTGTGTGAGAAGATCTATGTAACCCTTGGTTCCATAACTAAACTACTCAACTATTATAATATTTTTTTTAATTAAAATTTATTTTGACAATAAAGAAATATAGTGAGCCGGATATTGCCTTTTTTTAACGAAAAAAATGCAAAGTTTATTATGCAACAATTTTTATGTAGTTTTTAGGTCCACACTCTCTTTAGAGACATTAATTAATACTCCCTCCGTCCCATGAAACCTTTCTCCTTTCTTTTTTTATCCGTCCCACAATACACTTCTCATTTCTATTAAAAAGTCACTTTTACCTCTTACTTTTTCATACCCTATCTATCACATCATACATTTTTACTAATAATCTATCCATCAAATTATACTTTTACCCATCACATCAAAGGACATTTTTGGAAATTCAATACCAAAATACACTCCCCTTAAATCCATCCTAAAAAGCAAAAGTCCCATGTTTTATGGGACGGAGGGAGTATATGAATATGAAATGCTCCCCAATATAACTCACTTGTGATCGAAGCCATGAAATATGTTAAAAAGTCCACATTTTACACTTCAAAATACAATTCTTATTATAGAATTAAAAAAATATTTTGTATTTAACGAGTATATTAGCATTAATTATTATGAGAAGTTCCATAAAGTTTTTCACAAAAAATCTTATTAATTTATTTTTTTAACTACAAAAATACTTCCTCCGTGTATCGTTAGCAAACAAATGTCCATTTTTGGAGGTCCATCACATACCAGAACTCCATGCAAAAAATATGCAGTACCAATATAGGAATAGAATCAAAATAGGAGTTAAAAGATAGTACTTATAATGTCAATATATATGTATGTAATACCAAAAAATGGAATATACAGTGTCATGCACATTATCACTGTACAATAATATTATTTTTAAATAAAAATATATCACTTCTATTTTGAAGATAATAGTTATACTATGAATTTGACTTTTTTTAATTTTTATTACTATAATGTTAATTATTATTTAAAAAAAATTAAATGATGATAGAATTTACTTTGTTATGACACAAGGTCTATCAATGAGCTGAGGATCGGAAATAAATGCTAGAGCCATCTTTTAAATAAGAGGTCACATTGCATGTTCTAATCCCAATGACAACAATAGGTCTATGTACTTTAAATAGTTAGTTGAGAATATATGAACAAATACTACATTATATAATAGATTTGTTCTTTTCGGTGGAATTCTAATTAAGGTTAGATGTTGTAAAAAAATTGAGAGGACTTAGGAAATGTTAAAAAAAATGTAAAAAAGAACGTCCCAATAAATATTCCCTCACTTTATCTCTAAAAGAGTGTCACGATTTGATTTTTTGGTCAAACTATGACACCCTTTGACTGTGCATTATGGAAGAGTGTATTTAGTTATAAGGTAAATTTAGTAAAATTAGGTTTATTTTAAAAGGTAGTCAAAATTAGTAATCTTTGATAAAAAAAACTAAACAAAAAAAATATTAGATATAGATATAAAAATAAGGGTTAAATATATTTTTGCTGTAAAATAAGTACCTTTTATTTTTGGTCTCTATAAAAAATGTAAACTCATCCTTATAAATTTTTTTATTTTGAAAATAGTCATCAATTGAATTTAATTTACACTTCTAATTGGTTGAGATATCACATTTGTTTTGTACAAAACATCTAGTCTTGCATTTCATGCCATAAATTTTATCTTTATTTATATTACATATCCAAATTCCCATTTTTTAGTAATATAGTATGATAAATTTTGGAAAATGGAGATGTAATTTGATGAAAAAGATGACCTATTACATGAGAATCGTGTCTGAGGTAATTAAAATGCAAAATTAGAAGTGTAAATTATCTCAACATACTAAAACTGAAAATTATGTTTAAGGACCATTTTAAAAATAAAAATAATTTGTAAGAATGACTTAACAAAAAAAATACAGGGACCAAAAAACAAAAGTCGTCTATTTTACAGAGATAAAAAACATACTCGTATTTAACCATAAAAATAAATTATTGTTTTTATCTTGTAAAATATTTTTCAAAATATTTTTTCCCAATATACACCCTTCGTCCTTGAGTATTTGTCAACATTTAACTTTTCTTGGTTAAAATTGTAAAGTTTTGACTTAAATTAAATAAAAGTGATAATGAAAACTGGTACAAAAATAAATTTATTAGATTTATTATATAAAATATATTCAAAAATTAGACTTTCTAATTAATGTATAATACTCCCTCCGTCCCATAAAGTGTTACCCACTTTGACTAAAGTTGAAATTAAGGGAGAGATAATTTTGTGTTGACTTTCCAAAAATACCCTTGATGTGATGGGTAAAAGTAGGATGTGATGTGTAGATTATTAGGAAAAAAATATGATGTGATAGGTAGGGTTTGAAAAAGTAAGAGGTAAAATTGGTTTTTTAATAGAAATGGGTAAGGGATTGTGGGACACAATTTTTTTGAAACGTGTAAATCTTTTTGGGACGGAGGGAGTATATGTTTTATTTAACTACTGATCAAAATTTAAAAATACTTATTAAAAAAATCAAAACAAGAGAAATAGTTATGGAGGTAATATACTACGGAGTAATATAATGGAGTCTTATAAATTTTTTTTATCTAACGAAGCATAGTTAGGACATGAGACTCACTTACCAAGGGTAACAGTTAGAGCCGCCGCGGGAGGTGACGACAAAGTTCCCGACGGATCACCGGCATCGTAAGAGAAAAGGTCGAAGAGGCTGTCGTTTTTCCGGCGGCGGCGGTGGAGTTTGGAAGAGGTGAGCAAGATGAGGATGACAATGGAGTTGACGAAGACGCACATGAAGAGCGGCGGAGGCGAGGGCGACAGCCTCACCCGGCGAGCCCAGTGCTCGCCGCCGGGGAGGAGGAGGTGGAGGTGGGCGGCGGCCCGCCGGAGCATGAGGAAGGTGGAGATGAGGCCCGGCGGGAGGAGGAGAATTTCCACGGCGAGAATGGCGGTTTGGAGGGTTTTTTGGCCTTGGCATTGGAATAAAGCTCTCATCATCATGGCTAATAACATTAATTATGGGTGATGAGGGAAATGAAATGGAGTTTAGTGTAGGTCTAGCTAGGTTTTATACATGGACGACAATATATGCCTAATTAATTGCGAAGCACTTCGCATTTTTATATTGTAGTGTGTAAAGTGTAAACAACACCCACACTCTCATGCCAAAAGTTAGTGCTCCACACCTAATGATACTAGGGAAATCTTAGGGTTACACACCTAATCCTATTGAGATAAGAGAATTATTAAATTATTCAAGGAATAAAGAATAGTAGAGTATATATATATAGAAGGAACACAATCATAATTAGCACTAGGAAAATAACAATAAAAACTGATTGCAATACAAAATCTTTCATAATTACTATTGAGCATAGTTAGTTTTTTAACATTCCCCCTCAAGCTGAACGTCGTGTCACGAACGGAAGCTTGTAGAGAAGAGATTGAAAACGCGGCTTTGGCAGCGACTTGGTCAAGCCTACAGTTCCAGTGATGAGATGTCGCCTTTACGGAGTCAGCCACCAATGAAGACGTGGCAGGAGACACAGATGGACAACGAACATGGGTGGCTGATGAAAGACTGGACATGGCTGATAAGGTGTATAAATCCCGCTCACATGGGCTTTTGTATATCACTTTGTGGGTAAGATTGTCCAAGATCATAAATTCTTTAGAGTTAAAAAGAATAGAATAGTTATTGTGAGTGGTAAATCGGTGAACATAAGAGATGGGTTTGCAAGTTAGAAACATGGAAGAGATTAGAGATGGTAAAGGTACCTGAGGGGGTACATGTCTGTATTGAGCCTACAGAAGATATATGAAGGGTTGCCCCCCATAAGTAGAGACAGAATTTGAGGCTTGATATGAAGTATGATTATACAGCCTTGATGAATTAGAAGTCATGTTAGTAGTTGCATCTGTGTCTAGGTGCCAGTTTTCAGTGGAATCGGTAGGATAGGTAGTGAACAAGGCTTGAGCATTGGGAGGTTGTGAGGGAAGGCCAAAGAAGTCGCCATCATAGCAATTCCAGCACTGTCATGCACCATGATTAAATCTCCGACAAATTTGGCAAATAAGAGGCCCATCACATGATTGTCCACCCCTCGACCGTTAGTACGATTTTGCTGGAATCGACCTCCACCACTATTGCGCCCTTTGCTACCATTACTTCATCATATCCTCCTCTACGATTGTTAGGGAACCGAACATGACCCCTGCCCTATTGATTTTCCTCACGCCAGGTGCAGTATACAGGGCCGTATGCACAACATTGGACGAGCTCGAAGAACTCATTTGCAACTTTTGCTCTAGTTGAGTATTAAGTTCTTTAGACATTAGAGAAGAGGAAACCTGGTTAAAAGTGAGATTGGAAATATTCGTGCGAATGTTTTGTTTGATTGAGGCATATTTCGAGGGCAAGCCATGCAATACATTGAGAATAGTATCTGGTTCTGGTACTGGTTCACGCGCACCGCCCCGACCGCCCTGAACCCTGCTATGAATTTGTAATATCGTTGAACGAGTGTGCAGTGCACTCCGCACCTCCTAACTCGTTTGACAACATCTATCTAAAGATGACACTAAAATCACCAACAAATTATAGATCAAATGTACAAAATGATTGACTACGTACAAAAAAACTTAAAACTAGACAAATACATAAGGAGGACGATAGTAATATCCTTTAAAGGAGATTTATGTATAGTGAAAGATAGAAAATCACACAAGAGTATTGTTATATTTTCAAGCACATGATTCATCTTGTCATATATTATTATAGCACCCTTGAAACTATAAAAATCTTATTTTGTATTTTTAATAATTAATCGAGTGACATCAATTCACTTATTAAATAAATAAGAGGTAATATTTTAAACAGGGCCGGTCCCGAGGATTCATGTGCCTGGGCCGGAACACAAAAAAGGCCCTAAAAGTTTTATTCTTAGTGGTCTAACAAATTCACATATGTAAACTAATTATATTCAAATTATAATTAACAAAATATTATTAGAAGAAAATAATAAATGAAAAAATAATAGTAATACCGTAAAAGCTAGTCGAGGGTTCGAAAAGTTCTCCTTGCATTCTTGAGAGCAAATTGGTTGATCACATCTTCACTTCTTTTTTTAATTGTTTTTTTCTTTTTCAGTTTTAATTTTTTTTATAAATCATAAATTCATATCAATTCGTCAATTTATCAGTTTTTAATTTTTTTTCAATTTTCAGTCTTTTTTATATAAATATATCATAAATAACAAATTCAAATCAATTCATCCAAAACAAATAAATAACATATAGAACCATTAATTCATTATATTTAAGGAATGAAAATAGAAACAGAT